CAAATGTAATAAATAGAGAAATAAGTGCCCAGTAAGTGTTGTTGAACTCAGTGCTATTAGGAATAAAAAAAAGATAAAACACATCACAACCTGAGACTTTACAATCAAACGAACCAAATAAAGTACATTCGAACAGATCTTTAATCTGACAACAGTGTCTTAAAGGCATCTAATGAAATTAGTTGAATTTGGTGTCAAGTTACTAGTTACTATTAACTTTAATTGACTATTTCTTAGAAGATAACAATGTTAGTAAGGACTAAATTTAATGTCTTTTTAAAGAAATCATTTTAAGTTATTGAGACCTTCATAACAAATTAATAAAGACATGTGGCCCATAAAAGCTTCGTAGAAAATGTTTTTATGCCCTTCCTTTCTTCTATCACCGCAAACCGTTTTGAGACGGAAAATCTATCTATATGATTTAACAATAAACTTCGTGTTTGAACTCAAACCACCAGATAATATTCATTCTGTAATGTCATCAATAATTTCGAATTATCAATATCAACATTAAATTTATAAAAATAATCCTAATATCGGCTGATATTAATATTCTAAGTTACACACTTCTGAAACACGGATTCATGTGTAATTTCATGTAAAAAAATTAGATTCGACGAAACCGCTCAAAATGTGATTGTCATAGTATCGTTACTTTGATCCCGGGGTCAGACACGAACAAGATGACACTATATAATTAAAAGAACTGTTAGTTTACTCGGCAGATGAAAGATAAAAACCTTAGACTATAATCTCGTATTGCCGATAAAAAATCGAAAGTAGCAAGCGCATTGGTAATAATATATTCTCTGTGACAGACATGCTATTGGAAGTGTTTCATTTGACACACAGTTTTCACTGTTAGGTATTTCTGTTTTACACGTTGGCTCGAATGGTGTGAAGATTCGAGTTATCTAAATATCGCCATTAGCCAATATAGAGAACAATTTTATACAATAGTAAACTAAATTCAATTCTGAATAAACAACCCAACAGTTATTTTCTCAGGACTTGTAGAAAAAAGTGGAAGAAATTAATAGGACAGTTTTCATAATAACCAATTTTCACTGAAAAACACTAAATTGTTCCATAGACTTTACAAGGAGACATAGAACGAATGAGAATAAGAAAAATAGGAAGAAGGAGCATACACAAATAATTACTAAAACGAAACGAAACGTATCGTAGATAGGGTAATTCGAGGATAGAGGTACACTACACCGATCCTCGGAATTCCCGAAATGCAGAGACCAACTGGCAACATCACGAATCTCCATATGTGCACTGAAGTATATAACGCCTGTAATTTTACAATACGTGCTTCTTGTTTTCAAATATTTTTTGCTGTAGTTAGTCTAGGAACACCCTAATTTAACATCCTAACCTTAAAACAAGGAGCTTCTGATGTAGAAACCAATGAAACTTTACCGAGAGCTTTTAGTCCACCGATTTTTAGTGATGAAACAGAAGAGACTGATCCGAGAACTGACCCTACCGATTTACTGGAGGATTTGGCACAACCGGGACGTTCTGGTTACATAGCCCCTGATAAAATAACGCATTCGACGGGAGAAATGGTTGGAAGTGAGAAGGATACTGCTCATGAAGAGGACGAGACACCGGGAAAAATCCTTGATAGTGTTTCACCCGTGCCGAAAATTCAAACCGAAGGCCTAAAAAAGAGAAGTAAACAGCTTGGTATTGAGCTAACAAGCATGGAGAATATTAGCGAGAAAAAACATAAACTAAACTCAAAAATCAAGCCAAACCCAACGAAGACTGAAAAGAAAATTTTTAAAACTGCAGCCAAGAAGAAGTCAAGGAATAAGTCATATTCATCTGAAGATGAAGAGGTCATCTCTGATGATAGCTCTGATGTGTCCGACACACCCAATCCATGCGTTGGTTGTGGTGAACACTATAACCAAACCACAAAAAAAGATGACTGGATAGAATGTTTGAGTTTCCGAAGATGGATGAATGATAGCTGTTCAAAATATTTAAATTTTTGTGAGTGTTGCGGTAAAAAGGTGTGTCAAATCAAAAAGTAATCATGCCATCTATCCTTGAAAAGTGTACGATCTTTACCGCAATTATGCATAAGCCAATGTAGGCGTTTCATCTCAACTAATTATGTGTACCAAATATCCTATAGGTATAAGGTGAGATGGAACATATTTATTTTTTTTAACTTATATAACGTTCTTTTACTTTGATCTTTTTGATATTTAAGACCACTATGTTGTTTGTCTGGTTACATTTTGTAAACCTACAAGGCATTTTAATTTTCCTTGTAATAATAAAGAATTTACAATGATTTTAAAAAACTTGTACCATCTCTCCTGGATTTACCTTATTTTTGAAACAAAAGCTTCTAATTTTCAGACAGCGTTAGTGTTTCAACCCAAAAAGATACGAGTAAATAGATTCTCTAGTGTATTCTGTGCTTATAGTCTACAGCGCTTCCAGCCACTGTCAATCATCATTTGACAGATACAATTTATTCAATTAAATCTCCGTTCAAATCATTCTACTTCCCTTTCTATAAAAATATTAAATAAATCGTCCATGTTGAGAGCACACAAAGAGCCATACTTACGGATTCTTCAATTTAATTCATCAATTTACTTTTGAAAAATCCCTGGCATTTATCGAACAGTTATGATAACGACTCCCTGTTTTTGGCATAACAAGTTGGTCGACGTCGCAATAATCCGCGGTATTCTCGTTAGACTAGAAAATTGTAAAATCAATTTAGCCAACTAGATGGATACTTGTTCGCGATGGACGAGATAAATCTTTGCGAATGTTATGACGGAATAGTAGACGAACGTCACTGGTTTATAGAGCTGGTGTTCGAAAGACATTTACAGAGTCACCATATAGGATGGAATTGGTGATTACCAGGAAATTCTTCGATTGACGAGAACGACCTTTAACTATTCTCTGTGGTTAGACTTACATTTTTGTACGAAAGTTACTTTTGTACTCAGAATGGGTGGAAATAATCTTTGCAGCGAGTCAGGAAATTTATTGTTCCTGCTCCACCGCACTTATCGTACAATTTTCAAACAATTATATCAAGGAATAATAACAGAAGAAAACCAAAAATCTATTCACGATATTCTTATGCTACTCTCAATTCTTTATATCTCTTTCATTTAACTTAAATATTGTTAATCAAAAACTAATAATACTTTAATAATTATTATCGTTAAAATTATTTATATTAGTTATTACTTTCTTCACGATAAAACATTCATATTCCTTGCAATGATTTTATTATCGTTGCCTTCTTGATGCTTAACTTTTATCCAATTTTTATCTATTTTTAATAATTAAGGCCAATAGTAAACGCACCTTGGTATGCGAGGAACTTAGATCTTCACACATATCTGAGGATGTCAATTGTCGAAGAATAGTGGAAAACCTCGCATAAAAACACGAAAAAAGGCCGAATGACCACGTCAATATTGAAATTCTGCAGTCCCTGAACAATCTATACCTAATGAGAAGACTCAAAAGAACCAAATAATTTGAATTATTAGTGATGTGAAATTGCGCATGTGCCCCAAAGTAGATATATCAGAATAAAATGGAAGAGATTAGGAGAAGAATAGGAGAAGTTTATAAGAAGATTAGGAGAGGATTAGGAAATTATTAGGAGAAGATTAGAAGAAGATTAGCAGACGATTGGGAGAAGACTATAAATATTAGGAGAATATTAGGAGATTAGGAGAAGATTTGAAGAAGATTAGGGGGCGTCCATTAATTACGTGAGGTGTTCAAGGGGGAAAGGGATAAAGCTTTCCAAATTTCATTTGGTTCTTAGTTAATCTGACGTAATTTTTTTTAAAAACGGTGTAAAATTGCGGGAAAGTAAAATTAAATTAAAGTAAAGAATGTTTCTAGAAATTTTATATTACGTCAATATTCTCAAATACTAGTCTTTGCTAGTTTTAAATAAAAGTAATAGAACATATTGTGTTTTTATTTTTTTAATAATCCAACGCATTTACACCCAAAAAAAATTTTTGGAAAATCTCTCGTGAGATTAGGGGAGGGGAAGGGAGTTGAGGAAAATCTCACCAGGAGGGAGCTCCCCGGTCAAAAAATCCACAAAAAATCCTCAAAAATCCCTCACGTAATTAATGGACGCCCCCTTAGTAGAAGTTTAGGAGAAGATTAGGACAATATTAGGAAAAGATTAGGAGAAGATTAGGAGAAGATTAGGAGAAGATTAGGAGAAGATTAGGAGAAGCTAAGGAAAAGATTAGGAGAAGCTAAGGAGAAAATTAGGAGAAGATAAGGAGAAGATAAGGAGAAGATAAGGAGAAGATAAGGAGAAGATAAGGAGAAGATAAGGAGAAGATAAGGAGAAGATTAGAAGAATATTAGGAGAATATTAGGAGAATATTAGGAGAATATTAGGAGAATATTAGGAGAATATTAGGAGAATATTAGGAGAATATTAGGAGAATATTAGGAGAATATTAGGAGAATATTAGGAGAATATTAGGAGAAGATTGGGAAAAGATTAGGAGAAGATTAGAAGAAGATTACAAGAAGATTAGAAGAAGATTAGAAGAAGAATATTACAAGATTAGGAGAAGATTAGGAGATGAGGAGGAGATTAGGAGAAGATTATGAGAAGATTAGGAGAAGATTATGAGAAGATTATGAGAAGATTATGAGAAGATTAGGAGACGATTAGGAGAAGATTAGGAGAAGATTAGGAGAAGATTAGGAGAAGATTAGGAGAAGATTAGGAGAAGATTAGGAGAAGATTAGGAGAAGATTAGGAGAAGATTAGGAAAAGATAAGGAGAATATTAGAAGAAGATTAGGAAAACTCTTAGTTTTAATCTTCTTAGTTTACTTAAGTAGGTATACAATAAAGGGAGATTGCTAGCTGGCTGAAATATAGCTAGATGTAGTATAAAATAAAAACTAATCGAGAGAGATATAAATCTGAATAATTATAATAATAAAACTTACCGCTATCCGCGTCGGTGGCACTGACGGTCACTACAGGTGTGCCAATAGTTACATTTTCGAAAACTTCGTTGCTGTAGGACATGGGATCGAAGAGAGGCGCGTTGTCGTTGAGATCCAAGACGTTACAGTACACTGTCAAAGTGCTGGATAAAGCTGGATGTCCTGCATCTTGAGCTTGGACGACCAGGATGTAATGCTGCACCTGGAACAAAATAAACGATATTTAATTTTTTCTGCGACCGGTGCTGTAAGTTATTACTGTACAGCATGGATGCCGATTTATTTACTTTGCACGGTTGTAAGATTTATTTGGATATAAGTAAATTAATTTCTGTTGCTCCAAATTTTAATACAAGTAGGGTTACCAGGGAGACGATTTTTGGATTTGTCTCAACTTTAACTCTAATGGCACCCTCAAATCATCTGTACCTAAGTCGTTCAGTAGCGCAGTAGCAAAACCAAAGGTATCAATGAAAAAAATATCTCTCCCCACATAAAACGTTATTCTTCCCGTATAGGTTCGCTTAAGGGGGTGAATTATAAAGAGTTAATTATATAATTGTCTGTCGTAAGCTACAGGTATAAATAAATTAAAATTTATCTTTAATAACACAGAATAAAAATTAGAAGAGAAATGTCAGCATACCAATATATCCTTTATTGTATTTTAAGTTTAATAACTACCCCGAAGCAGTACCTGTCATTGTGTAATAATTTATACCCCAAGTGTAATATGCACGAAACACTACTCTGACATATTATTATAATTAATATTTATGTATAGTAATGATACAAATAATTGGACCGATAAAGTGGCTAAATTAATCGGAGACATATTCTGACATAAATAATTTCAAACGTGCACGACGTCCGTTGATGTCTGTCACTTTAGGTAAAATAATGGCTTATAGTTATTGTTTCTATGAAATATTGGAACGTACGCCATAAGGAATTGGTAACAGATACCAACCTGTTCTCAGTTATGCCATATACAGAGGTGGACTAAGTGAAACGGCGAATAAACAGCCGTAAATCATAATATAACTTATTATGGATCTTGTGTCTAATAGTAACTTTTAACTCATTATAATTTTCTTGTTTGGATTTTTTATTGGACGTTGCCCACGTATATGGAGCTTGAAAGAGCGCACCGCTAGGTTTTTTTTTGAGGTTAAATAGAAAAGTGGCTCGTTAGCAATATTAGAACTCATCGATTATACGGGGGAATGATTTATTGTTACTAATTAGAACAATTGTGTAATTCGTTGCAATGAAGTTTCAATTTATATTGATTTAATAAAAAAATCGGTTGTTTTTGAGGAGGTCTAAAATATCGGCTATATTTAAAGAAAATTTACAAAACATTCTTGTAATCACCGCAAAGAAATACGTATTCCAAAGACTACGAATTGGAAATGCTAATATGTAGAAAAGAATATTGAGCAATACTCTTGATATTATTGTCAATTATATTTATATGAACACGAAATGTCACAGGACATCAAGGAGGAAATCCCGACTATTATTTAATTTAAGTAGGATTTTAAGTGTGTCTGTGGTTAGTCTTTTATTTAAAAAATATGTTAAAAATAGGAATTGTTATTGGCAATGGCCCCACCGAAAATTACAAAAATTTAAAGAATCATTGTTCGTACTATGCGGCAAGTAATACAAGAAATATTACCTATAATTATCATAAAAAATATGTTTTTTACGTCACTATCCAAATTAGGCTTTGCGTTTCGAAATCCAACCGCAAAGTTGACAGCTTTGTCCCTCGCCTAATTTAAAATAGCTATAATATAATATTTCTTTTTAAACGATTTTCAAATTATTTTTTACATAGTTAAGGGCCACTGCTAGAGTTCGCGGAATCAAGAACCTACTCCTTGTATTGCCAGCGTTCTGCGATTGTCATATTCGTAAAATTTGACGTTTTTCACCTATCATTCAGTTGACAGTTCGATTTCAAACTGCTTGGTTTCGTTTCAACAAAATTTAACGATAGTAATATTTGTGTGAAAAATGGAAATTTCGAATCGTGACTTCCAAGTGATGATTTTTTATGATTTTCGATACGGTTTAACACCGCAGCAATGTATGGAAAAACTTAGTTCATTATTTGGGGATGAAGCACCATCCAAAACTATGGTTTACAAATGGTTCGCAGAATTCAAGCGTGGAAGACCAACGTTTGATGACGATCTTCGCGAAGGTCGTCCATGTACCTCTGTTGTCGCGAAAAATATTGATGCTGTACGTGAAATGATTTTGTCAGATCGGCATGTGACCTATCGTGAGATAGAGGCATCCTTAGGCATTGCAGCGAAATAAATACATACGATTTTGCACGATCATTGGCATGTCAGGAAGCTTTGCAGTCGTTGGATCCCTCACAATTTGAAAGAAGGACAAAAACAGGCACGTGTCAAGTGGTGCAAGGAAATGCTAAACAAATTCGAAGGGGGTCGTTTAAATTCGGTATATAATATCGTAACAGGTGACGAATCTTGGATATATTCATATGAGCCTGAAACTAAACAGCAATCGACTGTATGGGTGTTCCAAAATGAACCCAAACCCACAAAAGTGGTGCGTTCACGAAGCGTTTCGAAAAGAATGATTGCTTGTTTCTTCGGAAAAACGGGTCATGTTGCAACTGTTGCATTAGAGGATCGAAGGACAGTTAATTATGACAGGTATACTTTAATTTGTTTGCCGGAAGTTATTGCTGAAATCAGAAGGAACAACATAAACCGGCGAATCATTCTTCATCATGACAATGCAAGCACTCACACAGCACGACGAACTGTAGAGTTTTTGACCAGTAACAACATCCAATTAATGACTCATTGCCCATATTCGCCTGATTTATTGCCCAATGACTTCTTTCTATTTCGACATATCAAAAATAAAATGCGTAGCGAGCATTTTTCATTGCCTGAAGAGGCTGTTGAAGCATTTAAATCACTTGTTTTGAATGTACCTCGTTCAGAATGGCAAAATTGTTTTGAAGATTGGTTTCATCGAATGCAAAAGTGTAGAGATTTTAAAGGAGAATATTTTGAAAAGCAATAAAGCGATTTACATAACGTAATTTGTGTTTTGCTTTACATTTTCCGCGAACTTTGGCAGTGTCCCTCGTACATGTCTTTTTGTTATATTATTCAAGATAACATGGACAGAATATCAACTGCTTTTTTCATTATTAACGTAGGTATAGGCAACACATTATACACTACTTACGACAAATTTTTAGTTTTCATATTTATATCTTAAAAAAGTATGATCATAGAAAAAAATCTTGTGTGCATTTGGAGTGAAAAGTTCATTGCTGCTTTCGATAGATTATCGCGCTCTGATACACTCGTTTAACCCTATTTTTCCACCCCCTTTGATTTTAGACAGCAGTGTTTTTCTGGAAGTTTTGATTATTACGGACTATGGATGATGGCATTCATTTAATTACTGGTTTCTAACTATATATGGCAACCGAAGTTTTAATATTAGAAGCCCCTTTGCAAAGTTTTTGTTTGGTGAATTGAAGACTTGATTTATATTTAAAAATTGCAAACTGTCATACACCTTCTTAGAAATGACAAATACAAACTACTGAAACTACCTACTTCTTCATCGCGCGTCGGTCAAAAATAATGACAGCATCATTGGGGCACTTTATATTCCAGTTCTAAGGGTTTACGACAAAGATGGTCGTTGATGGAGCTGTAATCATTCATATGTTGTCTCCTAGTATTGCCAAAACGTTTGATGAGCAAAAGTAACTTAGTTTTTATTCCGTCTCGTTTTTATATTTTATGGGTTATGCTTTATAAATCAAATTATCTCAAAAGTATTGGAAGAATCAAGTGAGGAAAGTGAGTGACACTGCGGGTGGTTGGAAATTGCATCCACACCAAGAAATTGTGCGTAGATAGAAACAAGACACAACTTTTTAATTTCCTCTCAAAAGCAGTCATAAAAGCATTTGATGAGATTAGAAAAGACCCTTTTTGTGATAGATAAAGATCAGATCCTCAGCAAATCACCACAAGTTTATTAGGTTTCATGTATTTACAAAGAAGCTGACACCTAAATTATGTTACATGTTCCACATGCAGTACAATGTGGACACCACGAGATACTAATTCATACCCTTCATACAGATGTTGTAGTTCTATCAGCTGATGTTCAACTTTGGTTAGCATTTCGGAATGGACAAATTTTCCGTTATTTAGATGCCAATGTCCTAAAAATGCAACATACTCCCATTATTTTATATATTAACAGGACGTGATACAGTTTCTTTTTTGTTGGACATGGTAAAGTGACAGTATGAAGTAACTGGAATTCAATGCTAGACCAATATTCCTGAGGAATCGATGAGCGCAGTAGAGATTTACCATATTGTTGTATGATTTCACAAGCACAAGTATTTATATCAGCAAAACAAGGAATAAACTATCTACAAGAACAAGCTCAGTGCAAAGAATTTCATCAACATTAGATGCACTCAGCCAACATGTTAAAAGAGCCATATATTAGGGTTGTTACATATTAAGCAGACAACTGCTTCCAAGTCATGTACTACCTTCTGTGACAAGTTGGGGTCGGAGTAAAGTAAATGATGATTGAACCTAATTCGTTGTGGTTAGAGGAAGGGATGCAAGAAAGGCTGCAAATGCAAGAAACCCAATTTACCATGCACGAATCTATGTATATAAATGTTTCAGAGTTTTCTAACGTATGTTCAGTAACTAAATTTCAACATATTCAACAGTGGCGTACGATATATGAAAATATATGTTTAAATTTAAATCTAAAAAAGTGCTGTAACTCTTGTATTCATTATATTTCAATAAATATGTTAGCATGGTTTATTAGAGAATTACTGTATTTTTACCATTAAATACTAATTTTTAAGTTCTAATGCCAGAAAATATGCAAAATCTAAAATAGCTCCAGCATGTGCAATATATATTACCCAAATGTCTTGAAATCATGTTCTTATAATGAAAGTACCAACAATGATAAAAATTTTATGCTTGTATCACAAAATGCACAATTTGTTACTATATGCTGCCCCACTATAAACATAAATCTAATATTTTGGCAACGCAGCTTGAATTTTTGTCTTTGCCGCGTCTCAAGTTGCCGCATGCCGCGGCTTTTGCTATTCTTGTCGATCTGTACGCAGTTTGTTCT